TTAGTTTTCCCCACCTAGCTTTGTTATACCCTATCAGGCCAAGTCAGTTTTCTTTATTCATTAATGGTAATCACAGCACACAAGGAGAAATACCACATTACCTCCCCTTTTTTGTTTAAATAAAAAGGAAAGTTTTAACTTTAGCATAGTAAAATTGCATATAACAAAACAGTTATCAAGCAAGAATTATAGTTACAATATTTATATCTATTTTATCTTTTATCATAACCGAGAAAACTACTCTTCAACTCCATCAAAGACTCCAGAAGAATATAATGTTTCCTAATTAAACAGTGACTGCATTGTAAGAAACTTCCAAATCTCTAGAAATGACAGCAACATCTTGCCACCTGGACTGTCTCCCAAAGTTCTTCTGTTCCATTGGGACATCCAGTTTTTCTCTGGAAGTAGATTGGTGCTGCCAGGACCAGATGTGTCTTGTCATAAAATGTCCTAAGTTTTAAATGTGAGATTATAAAGGTCTCTGCAAAATTTGAATAATTCCTATCTAACTAAAATATATTTCTATTTATCTAGAAAACCTAGCTAACATGACTATAAGCTTGACTATTATAGATAAGTATCTATTAACCTAAATTTTAACTATACATTACATTTTTAAATGAGCTACACAAACACAATACCTTAATCAAGAGCAGAAATATATATATATATACAGGATATATATACAGGATAACAAAATTGACCTTAAATTTATTATCAATTGTATCAATAAACCAAAATCCATACCCAAGCAAATCTCTATAGCATATCCCCCTTTAAATGTAAACAAACATTTATAAACAATATTTGGGAATATGGGAGTAGTTCTCTCTAAACTTTTTCCTGCTGTTTATTGGGTGAAGTAATTTTTTGAGGGATATTCACAGCAACCTTTCAGAGGGTCTTGGTCCATCAAACCATATTAGTCTATAAGCAATCCACAGGTTCTCATCTTCTGTGGAAACAAAAGAAGAACCTCTTTTCCAAAGCAACATATCCTTAGACCCAAATTTTGATATCAAGATACCTTTAAAATATATATATGCTCGTTTAGCTTAGGAGCCCATACAATGAAATGTCTCTCTGCACTTAGTTCCTTTACAGTCAAAAAAATGAAAGAAAACTCAATAATATACATAATCCAGATTCTCTGTGTACAGACCATCTTTACATGGCTTATTTTTATTACTCTATTACTTTTTAACTCCTTTAATATAAGACTGTCTGTACACTGTCTCTTTAAAGACTTGGTTTTATATTTTTTATAAACCATTTACTTCTTTTTATAACTCTCTATACTCTTTTTTTCTCTCTCCCAAGCCTACATACATGTTTTAAACACACTGTGTCTCATTTAGAGGTCTTTTTCATCTGAATTTGTCTTTATTGCATATCTGTAATCATTTTATGACCAGAAGTGCTTCTTAAAATGCTAAACCCTTATGAACTTAAGTGACACCATTGCTAAGGAAAATATGGCACTGCCTGCTTGCCCTGCCTAGTTCAGCATAATAGAGCTGTTTGCTGCCTCTGAGAGACATGCTCACAGCCCCATTTTTCAGCACACGGCCAGTCTATATCGCTATTAAGCAAGTTGTAGCACTCTATTCAGAAACCCCATTTACATGTTCCATAGCCTGACCTCCCAAGAAAGAAAGTTCCCGCTGGCAGCACGCCAAAACTGCTGAATCAGGAAAACATCTATTAAAGGAGCCACGGCATGCTGCCAGCAAGCAAAGCCCATTCAGGAAAATAAATGTGGCTAAAGTTTGTTTCTTAGTGTCTAGAAATCCTTTCTAAGGTTTTAAGTGGATTTAGCTACCACGCGTGCCAATTTGTAGTAAGAAGCTGCTTGTTGGATCCCAACAAGCCCCAGAAGCACACCTAGAGTCATCACTGCCTTCTCTGTTTACTGACAACAGAAAGCTTATATAATAAATCCTGCTATTCCACCCTTGAGCCTCTGATACAAAACAGACCAACCAAGGACAAGACTTAATCTCTCCTCCAAGTGGACCGTGTTCCAACATAGTGATTAAAGTAAAATATTGACTCCATTGTTGTCATTTATACTGAATAAGCTACTCTAGATTATGGCTTAATTGTCATGGGTTGGGTTCCAAGAATTTGGGTGAAAAGCTTTTCCTATATGTAACTGCATTTTTATTAGAAAATAAAAATGAAGCTATTTCATAATAAAAAAGTTGGAAAGTTATACAAAATTATGGATTCTAAGGTTAATGACCCCTTGAGAGCTTATAATATTACAAAAAAATTAATATTTATATGACCTGCAAATAAATAGAAATGTTATACTAAATAAAACACTGAATCTTCTTACTCAATACTACAATAAAATAAGTTTTAAAGAGGAGGACCAAGAGGTGAGTGAACACCCACCAAGCAGGACACCCCACCTTCTAGGCCCTCCATACAGGAACAAAATCCCCAGGGCCCTCCCCCACCTGCCTCAACTTCTCTAGCCACGCAGCAGGCAAGTTTCCTGCAAGTAAGTTGATCCAACACCCCCAACCCATCAATTGGACCTTGTAAGCTACAAGCACTACTCTGCCCCCACATCCTCCCACTCCCCATCCCCTGCAACCTTAGAGGAACTGTGAAATACAGGCTGAATGCTCACAGAGAAGAACAAGAGGTGAGTGACCACCCACCTGACAGGACACCACACTCTCTAGGCCCTCTATACCAGGGCAAAACTTCCGGCCCTTCTCCCATCTGCCTCAGCTTCTCTTGCCAGTCAGCAGGCAAGCTTCCTACAGGTAGGCTGAACCAAAACTCCCATCCCATTGACTGGACCCTGTAAACTAAAAGTCCCACTCTGCCCCCAAGTCCTCCTATCCCCTGCAACCTCAGAAGCTCTGAAACACAGGCTTCAAATTCAGAGAGGACCAAGAGGTGAGTAACCACCCACCCAGCGGGACACACTACTTTCTAGGGCCTCCTTATCAGGGGAAAGCCACTGGCCCCTAATCCCATCTGCCTCAGCTTCTCCAGCCAACAAACAGGCAATCTTCCTGCAGGTAGGCTGATACAACACCCCCATATCATCGATTGGACCTTGTAAGCTACAAACCCTACTCTGTCTCCAAACCTTCCTATCTCCGCAATCTCAGAGGAACTCTGAAACATGGGCTTCAAATTTACAGAAAGAACCAAGAAATTAGTGACCACCCACCCAAGGTACATTCCACTCTGTAGGCCCTCCATACTGGGGTAAAATCCTGGGCCCATCCCCTACCTGCCTCAGCTTCTCTAGCCAATCAGCAGGCAAACTTCCTACAAGTAGGCTGTTTCAACATCCCCACCCCATCAACTGGAGCCTGCAAGGTACATGTCTCACTCTGACCCCAAACGTTTCCATCCCTCTTCTACCTCAGAGGAGGTCTGAAGCACAAGATCCAACTACAGATAGAGGACCAAGAAAGCAGATCAGGAGAGGAACCCTGAAGCATAGGTTGCAAGTACATAGAGAGGACCAAGTGAAGAACCCTGAATCATACGCTATGACTACACTGAGTAGACCAAGAGAGTGAACCAAGAGAGCAGACGAACAGAGAAGTCAGTGATTCCCTGAGACAGAGACAGTGACAGTACAGAGCAGAGCAAGAGCAGTTCCCAAAGATACAAACATCCACTGCAAGGATTGGACCAATGGGCAAAGACACTGCCGGCACCAATTGGAGGAAGAGATGGGTAGGCGCCAATACAAGAATTCATTCAACAACCTAAAAAGCAACACGGTAATTCCAGACCCCAGTAGCAGTTATATATCAGGAAGACTTGATCATCCCAATCCAGAAGAAGAAGGAAACGATTTTAAGCATAACTTTATGAAAATAGTGGAAACCTTTAAAGAGGAAATGAAAATTTCACATAAAGAAATAAGAAAAGACCAACAAAAAAATTGGAAGTGATCAATAAATTTCTCAAAGAAAAACAAGAAAACCAAGAAAAAAATCAAACAGGTAAAGCACACAGTTCAAGACCTGGAGACTGAAATAGAGGCAAGAAAGAAAACACAAACTGAAGGAATTCTGGATATGGAAAATCTCGGTAAATGAGCAGGAGCAGCAGAGGTAAGCATAACCAACAAAATACAAGAAATAGAAGAGAGAATCTAAGTTGTTGAAGGTACTATAGAGAAAAAAGATTCATCGGCCAAAGAAAACATTAATCCAACAAATTCTTTGCACAAAACATCTAGGAAATCTGGGAAACCATGAAAAGACCAAACATAAGAATAATAGGGGTAGAAGAAGAAGAAGGTATTCTTCCAGGGAGAGTGAGATCCAAAAAACCAGAACAAGCAGTAGAGATAAATCCTGGTCTCACTGACAGTGGCTCCACTGTCTACCCCAGCCATATAACTGTCACCCACATTCAGAGGCCCTAGTTTGGTCCTATGATAATGATGTAGAAAGTAAATTGACGAGACTTTCCAAGAACTGTGATCTTGTTTGGGAGAAAAGGATAATACATAGAGAGCAGAATTTCCAGCGTGAAAGCAGGGATTCATATTTGGTTCTAGGTAAGAATCATAATCTAGAATGGCAAGTGTTTATGTTCACAGTAACACCAACTCAGGAATAGAAGTCCTAACACATAACATGGAAGCCTGCTACATCTAATCCTTTCATATTTCCTTTTACAGCATCACTTTTTTCTCATTCAGATCAAAACTTGAGGTTGTTATTAGTGAGGCTTAGCTAAAGAGCCTTTCTATCATTCACTCTTACTTTCTTTGCATATGGTGAAGAAACAAAACATCTTGGGATGTTAATTTATGACTACTTGCCATAGGAACACAAAACTAACAATGCATCAGGTTCTGCAGGTGTATGCATGGAATCCCAGAACTCAGGTGGTGGGACGGGAAGATTTTAAGTTATGTTCAACTGTACAATGAGTTTAGAGATAGCCTGGAATACATGATAACATATCAAAAAGAAAAAAGAAAGGAAACTTTGAAAATAGACCAGAATTATAATGCTTTTATTTAAAACACACAGGGCTAGGTGATGTTCAACTGTCACATTTCTCAGTTTTACAGTAATGATATTTACTAATTCAGCACTAGATAATAATTAGCATTTCTGAATTCAATAAATCATTACACAGCATAGGAAATTGTTAATGTGTTTGTCCACAACCCTGAAAATTGCCACAAGTAGATGGACATTCCCTGGACCTTGAAGAGCTGAGGAAGTGTGAGGTGGGAGTTCAGAGAGCTATGACTGACAGAAGTGGTCAACTGTGCCCAGGAAGAAGGGCCTCTAGGGGAAAATACATTCAGATGGGAGTGAAGCAGATCTGAAACTCGGATGGCACAGAAACAAATCCATTGTTGACTGGATTGGTATCAAGGTCTTTCAGGTCAACTGGAGATTTCAGATTAAAGTTCTGTAAAATGGTGGTCAGGAATAAAAATAACTCCATTCGGGCCAGACCTTCTCCCACACAAATCCGTTTTCCTAAAAATAAAAAAATAAATAAAATAAAATAAAAAACAGAATATAATTAACTACTTGTGTTTTGTTGAGACATGCACTTATAATGCAATTATAATGAAAGAGAATTTGTGTCACTCTTTAATAGACTGGGTAGATGGATGCATGGATGGATAGATAGATAAATAGTTAGATAAATGGAGAAAAGATGAACATATTTTTTATCCATGTCTGATATTAGGAAACAAAGTATTAAAATACTTGGATGCAAAGCTTCAGAGGGTGGAAAAGCAGTAAAGAATACTAGACTTCCCATTCACAGGATTAAAACAAAGAAACGCTCATTTAACTACACATAGAGGTGAGTGGCGATGGTGAACTCTGGGATTTAATGGAACACAAAAGTAGAGCTGGTGTACTCCGGAGGATATGGAGAATACATCACAAGAGACAGAATAACACTGCTTTGAAACCAAACATCAGGATAATGGAAAATACTCCCATTTATAGGGGAAAAAGAAAAAGTGTCACAGCACAGGCAGAAAGCTCTATCCTATAGAAAAAAAGAAATAGCTTAAATAAGCAGATAATCAGGTTCCTTCTCAGCTGCGAAGCTTTAAATAAAACCTTTATATATCTCTCAGCAAATACTAAGAGTACTAAAGCCAGCAGACATCTTGACAATCATTCTAAATTGTAGACAATAAGCTACTCTTGGGGTTGGAAAACCTGACATCATCAGAGAGTCCCCATAGGCAGTCCACAGCTATAACTGGATAGGCTATGGCCACCAGAGACAGTTGCTTAGAAAAGAATCTTTGATGTGTACTGAGTGTAATATTTCATCCATTGACCATGTATTTAAATACTACTTATCTTTATATCCACAGACAAGTATAGCTCTCGTGTTCATCAAAGAAACTGTTTGCATAAAAGAGAGAACATTATAGAAAATCACAACTGATCAAAATGTAGAGAACAATCTATCATTGGGTGCCTAGCTCCAGTAGATACATCTACAGCACAACCGTTGCAGCTAAGGCTCAGGGAACATTGAGGAAGAAAGGAGTGGACTGTAAGATCCAAAAGACTAGGAAATAATTTGATTACCTGTTGAGAAAGGAACGAAGTAGTCACTTTTCTTAAACTTGCCATTCTCATCTAAAAAGTGATCAGGATCAAATCTCTCTGGGTTGGGGAATTCTTTGTCATCATGTAGCACAGATGTCACTGATGCGATAACAGTGGTTCCCTGTAAACAAGAGCCATAGACAAGTCAAGTTACAAAAATGTTGCTGAGGTAAAAGTAACAATAGGCATGGCATAGTCAACGCTTCAGAGGAAATCATGTCTAAACAAGAGCAGAGGCATATCTGTACAGACAGATCATGCAACAACAGGGATGCATTGGGATCCAATGGCAGTGATCTTAAGGAATGTTCTCTAATAGATTTTGAAGGGCTAAGTACTGGAATATACATTTATCAACAAGATTAGCACTGGTGTCTATCACCACCTACTGCTCTACTTTATCACTGTTGCTACTGCGTCATGCCTGTGTGGAATGTGGCTTGAAAATTTAAATTTTTACATGTAACACCAGATGTATCTGCTCATAGGAATGTCGTATGTACATTTCTGATAAAATTAACAATGTCTTCTGGAATAGCATTGCCAAAAACATTATTCAATTATTCCATGACATGAAGTTCATTAGTCTTAAATTTAAGATATGGGTGAGATGTTGATTATATTTAGGACTGCTTGAAAAAAAATTGAAGGGATAATAAAATTAGAAATTTTCTGATTTTGTAAGAATTTCAGCCAGGGTCATCAGTTTACTTGAGGATAAATATTGAAACTGAGAAACTAATCTGATGACTCACAAAGCAGGATATTCATAAGGTCATGCCATAAATTTTATTGATTACAAAAAGAGCAGAACTTCTACAATGTAAAGATCTGAATATCATCTTAAGGCAGAAGAAGCAGGCATATCCACTAACAACATAGTTAACGCATGCCCACCTGCCTTACAATATATGAGTGAGTCCTAGAGAATATTCTTTGTCCATTTTTTTTCTTCCAAAGTTATACCTGGAAACAAACTACTAGAGAACGTGACATGCAAACTAACCCTGAAACTGAGAACCTAATTACATGAATTTAAAGATTTAATGGAGCCGGGCGATGGTGGCGCACGCCTTTAATCCCAGCACTCGGGAGGCAGAGGCAGGCGGATCTCTGTGAGTTCGAGACCAGCCTGGTCTACAGAGCTAGTTCCAAAACAGGCTCCAAGCTCCAAAACCACAGAGAAACCCTGTCTCGAAAAACCAAAAAAAAAAAAAATAAAATAAAATAAAGATTTAATGGATCAATATATAAATTCTCTAAATGTGCCTATATACTTCTTAACATCCTGATAAAACCCTAGGAGAGTCTTTTCAAAGACTGGAAATCTGAACTTTAAGTTTTATTTCAAAGTGTAAACAGTCAAGAGCAACTTTAAATGGAGAGTAAATTTGGAAGACCTACAGCTCTACAAACTAAGACTTGTTTCATAATTTTATTGGCTCTTAATGAAAATAGCAAAAAGTTCATCCAGCTCCAAGATTTAAAGTGTTTGTATTTCTCTTATCTGGTGGGGGCAGCAAATTGGGACCAATCATGCTATAAATTTTTAAGAATTCTAGTACAGGTTGCTTGTGAATATACAACTTGTGGCTTGGTTGGCTTAATCTCCCTGAAAGGTTTCCTAACTTCCTCTTCAATACTGATAATCTGAAATTTCAAGCTCCAATATCTTGGGTTTATGATTTAATTTCACTCACTCATTTAAGAGCAAGACCATTAAGGTACAATGTAGACAAAGGAAACTTACCTTGGGAATGAGATAGTTTCTGAACTTAATGTCACAGGTCACTGCATGGGGCAGACTGGTAGGAAGGAGATCAATGTATCTCTGAATCTCATGCAACACAGCATCAGTGTAAGGCATGTGACTCCTGTCCTGCATGCTGGGGCTTCTGTGTCTACCAATCACATGGTCAATCTCTTTCTGGACTTTGGCTAGTTCAACACAGTTAAAAATAACAAGTAAGAAAGTGGCAAATTGAACACAAGTCAGGGTTGCCTGTAGCAAGATGAATATGCCTGGTGACAGCATGAAAGCATAACATATGCTAATGTAGTGATGGTTGCTATGATAGAAAAACTATCAAATATTTTAGAAGGCACAATACATAGGCCTTATGTAATAATTATCATACTTAAAATCAACACTATTCATTTCAAATAATAAACAGAACAGCAAGCCATGAAAATCAACTCTTAGAAGAAAACTATTGATCAAATATTATCAGTACCAAAACAATGAAGTATATTTAAGAATAAATTATACTGGCATTGTGTGCATGTTTGTATGTAGTTTCCAAAGGTATATAATATCTTCTTACTTCCCAAATATGGCCATGTACTAACAATCGCTCCTAAAATTTATGTTTATATCTATATGTGATGTGGGAGTCCCCTCGGTGTGCTGTGATTATCATTAATGAATAAAAAAAACTGCCTTGGCCTGTTGATAGGGCAGAACTTAGGTAGGCGGGAAAGACAGAACTGAATTCTGGGAGGAAGAAGGCAGAGTCAGAGAGGTGCCATTGAGCCGCTAGAGACAGATGCTGGGAATTTTACCTGGTAAGTCACTCTCACGTGGCGATACATGGATTAATAGAAATAGGTTAAATTAAGATGTAAAAGTTAGCCAATAAGAAGTTAGAGATAATGTTCCAAGCAGTGATTTAATTAAGACAATTTCTGTGTGATTTTTGGTTCTTGCTGGCTGGGATGAACAAGCGATGTCCTCTAACAAATATGTAGTGATTATTCTTTCTTATCCATCACTGGATAAATGAAATTCTTATCCATGTGGAAAAATAGTTTCATATTCTCTAGATTTATTAAATATAAACACCTTTCTCAGTTCAGTCCTCACAGGGGAGCTTTGCAGTATCCATTGGTGAAATCTTTGTGACTACATAAAATTTGTTCCCTGGTAAGAAAGAAATGACTATTGTCATTGTTGATGCTATCCTGAACTTAAATCTATTTCTCTTTACCTACTTACATTTTTATTCATTTTAGGGATTATTTTGAAATATTCAAGTAGTTGTTTCAAAGTCTTGCCAATACATATTCAGTTAGGGAGAAGTCTCAGGATATCAGCCTCTTATTTCCCTTTTGTTCTTGGTTCTCTCCTCACACCTTCATTCCATTGGTCCATTCTGAACTGGATGTTTTCTAGGTATGATGCTAACCAACCACCCTAACAATCTCATTCTTCCCCATGTGGTCTCTTGATTTCTATAGCCCATTACTTTTTATGTCTGGAGGACTTGTATTCAACTACCAGCATTCATACAGTAAATAATAACCATGTATAAATTTCGATTCTATGTATTTGATGCCCTCTTCTGATATCTGTGGGCACCAGGCCTGCACATGGTACACACACATAAATGCAGGCAAAACATTCATATACATAGAATATTTTTAATTTAAGATAAAATTATAAGACACTACCCCAATAGTCTGCCATAACTTAAATAGCATTTTATGGAAACTTATTTATAGAATGATAAATTAAATACCTTTAGAAATTCTGCCTAAATGGACCTAAGCTTTAGAATAGTTTCCAGGATGATGTCTCATTAAATTCTAGAATTGATATTTATTCTTCTGTAAGGAGAGTTTCTATTCCAACAAAAGAATTGTCATAATAAGGAAAAACATCCTCAAGAATATATCTTCTATTCAATATGGATTTTTCCAGTTTAAAGTAATTTGCATTTTAAAAAAAATTGGTGTGGACACAATCACTTCCCATAAAATCTAGGCTCTGGAAAAATACTTTACTGATCTTTCTTCCTGCCTTCCAACCTCACTTTTATGAAATATGAGCTCTGCTAAGAGCTGAGACACCTTACTTCAGTCCTCTTGATATATGTAGCAGATTGCAATGGCACACACAGTTAAATTCTGAGGCTTCCTTGAGACAAACAATTCCCAGGACTCCAGGATTTTCTTCCAATTCCTTTCTGAATTCCTTGCTTCCCACCTGTGTCCTCACCTGTGACTTCTGGGTACTTGAGCAGGAGCAGCAGAGAGTACCTCAGTGTTGTACTTGTTGTCTCAGTCCCAGCAGCAAACAGGTCACCTGCTGAGAAGATCAAGTTTTCACAGGTAAACTCTGTCTTTGGATTGTTCTTTTCCTAGGAATGATTTTACAGTGTTAGCCATCAAATAATTTGTCGATGTGTTTACTAGATGGAATAAAAATGCCTTACATATGCTGAACTTAACCTGGCAGAGCCTGGGGAATGCAGTGGGAGAAAAAACTAACATGTGTTCAAAAGAGATGTAAACCCCCTGACCCATATTTACCCCCTATACCCAGTGTCTTATCTGGAAAAATTATTTTCATGAGACTCCTCAGCCATGTGAACCATATAGTGTATCATCTTCCCAAAGAGACAGAAACAAAAGAATTGATGCCTCATTTTCTTTTTTAATGTTTTACTCAAAGCACACATAAAAAGGGAGGAGAAAAGACAGATAGTATGTTATATTAGGGATAGTCACAAAGATGAAAGCCTCAATTGTAAACATGGCAAAGAAAGATGGATGATCCCTGACTCTCATGAGGGAGGTTTACTGCTTAGATAAGGAGAGTAAATCCAGGACACAGCAAGAATAAGGGTAGAGTTCAGTGAAGTAAAATAGAGAGCTCACAAAGCAACCAAACAAACACCTTATGTTTATGATGAGTGCCAATAATATTCATTGGAAATAGTGGCTTTACAACAAATGGAGCCATGACAAAATTAGCATTCATTCATATAGGTACCTGATAGATATCAATCTTTAATTACATGTCCATATCAATCCACTTGAAGTTTCACTCAGTTAACTTAAATTTTCATTTAACTTTCATCCGTGGCATTAATCATTCCCTTCTCAAGCACAACATACACTTTATAATTTATGTAAAATTCCCTCACCTGTCCATTGCTAATATTTTAAGATTTAGTTCAATCTGCAGAGACTATAGACAATCTAACTAGCTTGAGCTCCTTTTCTGAGTTTCCATGCATTGTCTGCAAAGACAATATTCATCTCTATTTCATATTAACATTTTTTCTAGCAGTTGTGTGGTGTGGGAAGTTCTTCTGTATATGTGTTGCTTTTATTGGTTAATGAATAAATCTGTTTCAGCTAGTAAATTAGCAGAATAGAGCTAGGTGGGAAAACTAAAATGAATGCTGGGAAAAAGAAGGCAGAGTCAGTGAGAAACCACGTAGCCACCACTGGGATCAGATGCACTGGAACCTTGCTGGTAAGCCACAGCCATGTGGCAATGCACAATTAATAGAAATGGATTAATTTAAGATATGATTTAGCCAGAAAGATGCTTAAGCTATTGGCCAAACAGTATCACAAATAAAATAGTTTCTGAGTGATTATTTCATGGTCTGGGCAGCTGGGAACAAACAAGCAGCCTCAGGCAAAAAAGTTGGCACACCAACATGGTCAACAATATTCACGTAAAACCTGAAAAATCTTAAAAAGAAATTTTACACACAAAAGAACAGAGTTAAGCACAGCTTTTTGGTAGCAGTATTTTCTTGGGTGGGCTTTGTTTGCTAGAAGCAAGCAGAGGCATAATTCTTTTAAGAGAAGCCTTTCTGACTCTGCAGTAACAGCAAACACTGCAAAAACTCCTTTAAGGAGGCTTCCTGGTTCACCAGCAGAAATGGCTCTAACTCTTTCAGGAGGTCCAAATAGGAGCGTTTAAATGGGGTCTGTGAGCAGAGTGCTACAACTTGCTTAATGTAAAAATAGAATGGCTGTGTGCCTAAAAATAAGACAATGTACAAGGATGTCAGAAGCTGTGAACATGCTTCTGCTATGTAGGACTGGGCAGAGCAAAAAGGCAGGGCTATGTTGGCCCTAGCCATGAACATTTAGCCTTCAAATATGGGGGGGAGGGGACCTCTGGTTATAAAATGACTACAGTTACACAATAAAAACAGATTCAAATTTTTTTAAAAAGACCTCTAACATAAAAAAACAAAGTCTTAAAGACAGAGCACAGACAGTAATAGATTAAAGGGGTAAAGAAAAAATAAGCCATGTAAGAATGTAATATGCACAGGGAGTCTGGATTATGTATATTATTGGGCTTTCTTTCAATTTTTTGACTGTGAATGAGCTAAGTACAGGGAGACATTTTATCTTATGGGCTGCTAAGCTAAACCAACATATATACTTTAAAGGTATCTTGACTTCAGAATTTGGTTCTAAGGTTTTGTTGCTTTGGAAAAGAGGTTCTGCTTTGGTTTCCACAGAAGATGAGGACCTATGGACTTCTTCTAGACTAATGTGGTTTGATGGACCAAGACCTGCTAAAAGGTCACCATGAACACCCCCAAAAATAACTTCACCCAGCAAAAATCAGGAAGCAGTTTAGAGAGAACTATGCCCAAATTCCCTAAATGATTGTTTATAAATATTAGTTTACATTTAAAGGGGGATATGCTATAGAGATGACTACTTTGCATTGGTATGAATTTTGGTCTATTGAATCAAATTTAAGGTCAATTTTGTTATATATATATATATATATATATATATATATATATATATATATATATTTGCTCTTGATTAAGGTATTGTGTTTGTGCCACACATTTAAAAGTGTAATGTATATTTAAGAAATATAGGTTAATATATAGTCATCCATAATATTCAAGTGTGTAGTCATATTAGTTAAGTTTTCTAGATATATAGAAATCTATTCCAGTTAGAAAGGTATTCTCCAAATCTTTCAGAGACCTTCAGAATATGGTATTTAAGATGTTTTAAGAACTTAGGATTTTTCCGTGACAATGAGACACATCTGATCCTGGCAGTATCAATCTACTTCAAGAGGATGATGGGCATCAAAGAGGTTCCTCATGGAGTTTGTTAACCATTTGGGCAAGAAACTGCTCTTGCCTGAACTGTTTGACTAGACTTGCAGGAGCCACAAAAAAATGACTGCTGAAGCTGCCTAAAGAAGGTGATACAGACCTTCAGGGTTCTTGCTTCAAGAAAGAGTCTGCCAGACATTCTTCAGGGCACAGAAGAAAGTGACTGACAAATTTCCAACATAGATGGAACTGTCTTTGAAGTGTCCTGCTTCATGGAAAAGTCTGCAAGATACTATGGGCCTGTAGGCTGAAGACTGGATGCTCCAATGACACAGAAGAACTTTAGGTGACTGTCCAGGCAGCAAGATGTCTCTATCAATTCTAGAGTTTTGGAAGTTGCTTACAATGCACTTCATGTTAACTTAGGAATATTGCATCCTTCTGGAGTCATTGATGGAGTTGAAGAAAAGATAGTTTTAATTATACTTTTCCTTAGTTATGATAAAAGATAAAGTAGATATAAATGTTGTAACTGTAATTCTTGCTCAATACCTGTATTGTTATATGCAATTTTACTATGTTAAAGTTAAAACCTTCCGGGGCTGGAGAGATGGCTCAGTGGTTAAGAGCATTGCCTGCTCTTCCAGAGGTCCTGAGTTCAATTCCCGGCAACCACATGGTGGCTCACAACCATCTGTAATGAGGTCTGGTGCCCTCTTCTGGCCAGCAGACATACACAGAGACAGAATATTGTATGCATAATAAATAAATAAATAAATAGTTAAAACCTTCCTTTTTATTTAAACAGAAAAGGAGGAATGGTGTGGGAAGTCCTTCTGTATATGTTTTTGTTACTCCTATTGGTTAATGAATAAATCAATTTCAGCCAGTGACTTAGCAGAATAGAGCTAGGCAGGAAAACTAAACTGAATGCTGGAAGGAAATAGGCAGAGTCAGTGAGAAGTCATGTAGCTGCCACCAAGGAGAGATGCAGCAGAATCTTGTCAGTAAGCCACAGCCATGTGACAATGCACAGATTAATAGAAATGGGTTAATTTAAGATATAAGAATAAGCCAGGAATACTCTTAAGCTATTGTTCAAACAAAATTGCAAATAATATAGTTTCTGAGTGATTATTTCTTGATCTGGGTAGCCAGGAACAAACAATCAGTCTCTTGCCAACAGTTTGGAAAGGTTTACATTCCTTAGACATATAGCATTTTACGACTATTCAGCTAGATCATTTTTATCTAAAAAATTAGGTCAATAAATTCAAATTATTTAACTTTACACTGGTATACTTACTGCAAATTCATGTACATAATATGCTAATGAAGTGTTTGTCAAACATTACTGGTCTGAACCATTCAAATATCCCTGTAAAGCAGAGACTATCCATGGAACAATGCTCAGGCAATCAAACAACTGAATTGAAGTTTTATTATCATTTTACCTGCTCCATTTTGATCAGAAAACAATCAATAAAGTCCCGAGGATTGTTAATGTCCAGTGATTCTTGGTGCTCTATCATTTTTGCCAAAAAATAATGTTTTAAAAAAGTAAAATTTTCAAGTAACTCTCTGTGTCTTCCTGGTAGATAGTCAATTATAGCAGGAAAATTATTGCAAATCTACAAAAGAAAATGAAAAAAGTTTAAAACCTAGGATTTATCTATGTGTCCATTATAGTGGACCTTGGTCTGAAAAAAGAAATATAAGAATAAATAAAATAGGTTATCCATCTTGATGAGTGATTTTTATGTTGTATATAGAAATTGTCATTGCTTATAGAGATGCCGATAGAAGAGCACATAAACCAGCTCACATGTGATAACCACTGTGTAAACTCTCACACAATGAGTAACATCAGCTCATTCTTTTTCCACACAACCTCTTCACTAAACCTTCAATACAAAATAGCATGAATTGATGTGATTTACGTTTTCTAGACTGTAACAGAGATGAAGGGACTTGGGATATCCTGATTGAAAGCATGGACATCATCTTTGTTACTTAATTTCCATCAGTCACCCTCAGACACAGAATAAGAATTTTAGCAGTGGGAGTCTTATGAATTCTTGAAGTATAACTATGAACCTGTGCAGACCAGCTGGATGATTTCTTCAGGATCATTTAGACCTATTAGCTAGCTCAGCTCAGCTCAGCTCAGCACAGGGAAAAATTTGATGGGATCAAGACACCACTCAAACACGTTGTCACTCCTGTGACAGATATATTGGTACTTAGGATGTCAGCTGCTTACTATTTAATAAACACTGCCATACTCCAGGAGCCCTGGCAGTTTCAATGATTCCATACACTGTCCCTACTGGAAGAAAATATTCTCTCGTTGCAAATTATGATATTTCTCCTAAGTGTTTTGATGACAAAATCTCTAAAGCATTGAAAGGATAATAAGCCTTGCTGCTAAGAAATTTTAAAGATGAAACAGATGGTCCAGTGAATTATATCAGTGTCTTCTTAGCATTGAACTAATGGTTTATGGAGAAAGTGATTTGAGGTTTAATGAACAGAGTTGAACAGCCCACAATTAAGTCTTCATTTTCCTAGAGAATGTTTGCAATTTCAGGGAGGACATATCTCTAAGAAGGGATTATTGGTTTTTTGTTTTGTTTTGTTTTTAAAGAAAGAAATGAGCTCACCTGAATCCAAGGAGTACTCAGAATCTCTACATTTTTATTTAAGTTGTTCATTAAGTTAAGAAAATCCTTGTCTTTATAATCAAAACGATTCTGGAAAACAATGGAGCAGATGACATTGCAGGGAGCACAGCCCAGGATGAAGGTGGGGTCACAGGGTGAGCCTGAAGAGATGGGAACAATTGTAAAATGTCACTGAAATATATGTGTGTAAAACACTGTATGTCTTAACAGGTAAAAGAACTTAGAAAATTTGAGCAAGTTTTACCAACAGATGGCCTGGTAGGCATAAAAATATGCATTGCATCTGCACATCATTTTCATACTTAATATTATTTCACTGATCTGGAAATCTATCCAATTCATGAAATTGAGTAAACTCACTTTCCATCTCATCCCTTTATTGACTGACCTGTCACTGCAGAGGTCTGCTGTTTTGGAAGGGGGAAAAGGGACTTTTTAAATATTCAGTAATGTAGGACTTCTGGTTAGGCCCAAGTGTGTTTGTAAAGCCTTTGAACAACATGGTACAACATTCATGGGAATGGAAGGCGGGGCATCTGCGAAGAGGTGGGGTGTAATTTATTCTGTTTTCTATAAATTATGCTATGCTTTTAGAAGAGAATGAACTGGTAAATCTTTATTAAGATATAGTCAAGTAAAGAAATGTGTTACATAGTAACATCCACCAAAAATTTTTTGCATGGACCTGAGATATTTCAGTTATAAAAAATAGTCCAAGGGGGCTGGAGAGATGGCTCAGTGGTTAAGAGCATTGCCTGCTCTTCCAAAGGTCCTGAGTTCAATTCCCAGCAACCACATGGTGGCTCACAACCATCTATAAAGAGGTCTGGCGCCCTCTTCTGGCCTTCAGGCATACAGACAGAATATTGTATACATAATAAATAAATAAAAATAAATAAATAAATAAAATAGTCCAAATAAAGACAATTATACCTTTTGGTTCTATACAAATATGATGCACTGATTGTCACCATATTCACATATGTTTTTTAGTAGACTTAATATTTATGTTGAGGGAAATTATTGTTCCTTAAAACATCAGAAAATAAGTTCAAAACCTAAATTCATATAGTTATTTTGGTTTTTGAAAGCAAAACAGTTGGAAAAGATCTAGATTAAACACACAGAATCCTTCCATAAAACAAAAATCACAGATTTAAAAGCTGTCCTACTTTTTTTCTACTACAAACCATACTTTCCATATGAAGACAGAGCCAGAACACAGAATGAAAGTTCTGGCCACCCTCAAAACTTCTCAAGGGCATAACAATGAGACAGAAGCCTATGATGAGTAAACCTCACCATTGGTTTTCCTTAATTCCTCCACAAGACAGCGAGCTTCCTCTTGAACACGGTCCTCAATGCTCCTCTTCCCCATTCCAAAGTTCCTTAGAGCCATGAGTGAGAAGCGCCTCATCGCTTTCCAATTCCTCCCATTACTGAAAACAATGCCTAAAAGAAAGAGCAGAAGTGTGGAGGGAGATCCCAAGTAAGGACGGAGGTCTGATGGGTGACTGCCACACAGAAAGCCCAGTTGGATCTGAACAAATTTCACCCTCAAATTCCCTATGGGCCCAGCCCAACATATAAACATGGACACATAGGGGCATGGACAATGTACACACGTAGGCACATGGACACTTACCAAGACCTTTATTAATCTTATCAAACACTGGAATGCTTCCTCTTCCAGCAAACTCCTCACCATTATCAATCAAGGCTTCTTTCACAGCTTCATATCCATACAATACCACAGCAGGCTTTCTGCCCAAGTACAGAGTGAACACAGGACCATAGACTTTTGATAACTGAAAATAAAAATGTAATTTAAAATAGAGCAAGAATGGATAAGGAAAACGTGGTACATTTATAAAATGGAGTACTACACAGCAAAAAAAATAAGGACCTCTTGATTTTTGCAAGAAAATGGATGGAGCTAGAAAATATCACTTTGAGTGAGGCAACCCAGACACAGCAAGACAATTATCACATGTACTCACTCATAAATGGTTTTTAAACATTAAGCCAAGAAAACCACCCCACAAATCACAATCCCAGAGAACCTAGACAACAATGAGGACCCTAAGAGAGACATACATAGATAAAATCTATATGGGGGGTGGAAAAAGACAAGATCACCTGAGTAAATTGGGAGCATGAGGATCTTGGAGGAGGGTTGAAAGGGAGGGTCCCATGCCAAGAGTCTCAGCTGCCCCAGGGAAAACCTATTCTGGAACACAATTGATCTCTGCTGAAAAATTAGGTCAGCACGATAAATAACCAGACCAGCTCAAGAACAACAGTTATAATTTTTTAATAGTTGAAAAGGGAAAACTCATGTTACAAGAGTGGGAGGTAAAAATCCAATAGGTCCAGCGAGCACTGCACGGAGAGAGAGAGAGAGGCACACGTGGATCTACCAATATTTCTACTTGGGCCCCAAGTAGCCACACCCTAATTAGATGTGATTGGTTGATAGTTTCCCCATCATCTCCCCCTTTTATCTAAACAAGATTGATCCAAACCCAATACAACTATATACAATAGGAACAGATACCAAATATAAAATTACAAGTAATAAAAGGATGATTGGGATAAACGAAGGTTGGATAGGGGAGCACGGAAGCACACTTCTTAGTTAAGGGAGCCACCTTAGGGTTGGAAAGAGACTTGAACCTAGAGTGGCTCCCAGGAGCCCAAGGCGATGTCCCCAGTTAGTTCCTTGGGCAGCTGAGGATAGGGAACCTGAAACGACCCTATCCTAGAGCAATAATGACGAATATCTTGCATATCACCATAGAACCTTCATCTGGTGATGGATGGAGATAGAGACAGAGACCCACACTGGAGCACTGGACTGAGCTCCCAAGGTCCCAATGAGGAGAGGAAGGAGGGAGAAGATAAGCAAGGAAGTCAGGACCACGAGGGGTGCACCCACGCACTGAGACAGTGGAGCTGATCTATTGGGAGCTCACCAAGGCCAGCTGGACTATGACTGAAAAAGCATGGGATAAAACTGGACTCTCTGAACATGGCGAGCAAGGAGGGCTGATGAGAAGCCAAGGACAATGGCATGGGGTTTTGATCCTACTTAATGTGCTGGCTTTGTCAGTTTGGATGTTCACCTTTCTAGATATGGACGGAGCGGGGAGGACCTTGGACTTTCCACAGGGCAGGGAACCCTGACTGCTCTTTGGACTGGAGAGGGAGGGGGAGAGGAGTGGGGGGAGGGGGAGAAGGGTGGGAAGAGGGGGAGGGAAATGGGAGGCTGGGAGGAGGCGGAAACTTGTTTTTTTTTTCCTTTTCTCAATAAAAAAATAAATAAATAATGTAAAAAAATAAAAAAATAAAAATAAAAAAAATTAAGGAATGCAGAACAAAAATTTTACTAAGCATTCTATTTCAAGGAGTTTAAACATTGCATTGAAATTAAGCTTGGCTGAATCATGAGGAAGGTAGCTACAATTATCTAATTTTTAACTCCATTAAAAATCTGAGAAGGGAAACAATATTACTTGAGTGAACAGGAAATACAATCGGGAAAGTTTTAAAAGAGCTTTTGGTGTCTGTGCTCTGCCCCTCCCTTTGTAGCCAGTATGTGATGGCTCAAATCTTTTTAATTTAATATTTTTAATTAGCATAGTAACCCCAGTTCTCCCTCCCTCTCATTCTCCCACCACCCTTTTTTCCCATCCCACCATCCATCCACTTCTCAGAGGAGCTAAGGCTTCCCTTGGGGAGTCAACAAAGTCTACTGTACTAAGTTGAGACAGGAACAACCACCTTCCCCCTGTACCAATAGACAAGCAAGGTATTCCACCATAGGTATTGGGCCCCAAAAATCCAGTTTATATACCCAGTAATATGTTCTGATCCCACTGACAGCCCCCTTCCAACAGATAAAGCCATGTAATTGTCACCTACATTAAGATGGCTTAGTTAAGCCCCATGCAGGATCCCAGTTGTCAGTTCATAGTCCATGAGCTCCCACTAGCTCTGGTCAGCTGTCTCTGTGGTTTTCACAATCATGATCGTGACCCCCACCTTGCTCATATGATCCCTCCTCCCTCTCTTCAACTAAGTTCCAGGAGCTCAGCCCCATGTTTGGCTGTGGATCACTGCATCTGCTTCTATCAGTTACTGGATGAAGGTTCTATAATGAGATTTAGGGTAGTCACTAATCTAATTATAGGGGAAAGCCTGTTCAGACACCAACTCCATCAGTGCTAGGAGTATTAGGTGGAGTCATCCTTGTGGATTCCTGGGAATTTCCCTAGCACCTGGTTTCTCCCTAGCCCCATAATGGCTCCCTTTTTCAAGATATCTTTTTCATTGTTCCCCCTCTCTATCCCTCCCCCAACTCGTCCATCTGGAGACTTCATATTCCTATCCCCTATCCCCTACCTTCCACTTGCCTTCCCAGCTTACCCAGAAGGCCTTTACTATTTTTTTTCCTGGGGTCCTTAATGTGTAACCCTCTTAGGGTCCTTCTTTTTGCCAAGCTTCTTTGGGGTTGTGAACTGTTGCCTGGCTAGCCTTTCCTTCATGTCTAATATGCACTTTTGAGTGAGTACATGCATTGTTTGTCTTTCTGTATCTGGGTTACCTCCTCAGGATTTTTTTTTTCTAATTCCATCCACTTGCTTGCAAATTTCAAGAGGTCATTGTTTTTTACCACTGAGTAATACTCCATTGTGTAAATGTTCCACATTTTCTTTAGCCATTCTTCATTTGAGGGGCACCTAAGCTGTTTCCAGGTTTTGCTTATAACAAATAATGCTGCTATGAACACAGATGAGCAAATGTCTTTGTGGTATGACTGTACATCCTTTGGGTATATGCCCAGATGGCCTAAATCTTTATCGACCAGGGTTATGGCATCTAAAATGCTCTTTCATTCAGGAACTCCCTGACAAGGTTACCTGAGTCACTGGTACCCCTCCTCTTTCACTTAAGCCCCACCGACTCCTTCTCCTTCCCCTTTTTCAGTACCTCATATTACACCTAATGGTGGGTCAATCTTCTTCCCTTTAACCTCCCTTCTTCTTCCCCTCCATGAGAAAGGTGAAGATTCAGCCTCTTCCCCTTGCCTGCCTCTCTTCTTCTCCCTCTTCTATTGTCCCTCTTTCTTCTCTGCCACCACAAGCTCCACCTAATGGTCAACCCCAACCCCTATATCCACCTCCTCCTCCTCATCTTCCTGCCCTCTCCGTGCATCTCTGTCCCACTTCTACAAAGCCACAACCTACACCCTGGTCCTCATCCACACACTGGTCTACTTCCCCTGAGTCCTCCCTTGTGGCTTCTCATACAGGATCCTGGCAGATCCCTATTCTCCTCCGGCCCTTCTAGAGTTGCCCGGGTGCATGTTCCTTTCTCCCTCCAGGATCTATCCCAAATAAAAGGTTACTGGGTATGGTGGAGCTTTTGGAGCACGGGATTCATAGAATTCAGAATTTAAGGCCAATGGATAGCGTTCTCCAGTAGGAGAGATAACACACGGACATGTAGCCAGTGGTACAGGAAGAAAAAACACAAAGGACACTGTGAAGTAAATATGACACCGCAGGTGTAGAGGTAAAAATTGAAAGCTCAAAAATAAATAATAAAAGATAATAAAGGAAGAAAGGTGGGAGATAAAATATCAGGAGTAAAATTGCATAGAACTGTAGACATAAGACTAGGAAATAGTATTCAACTGTCTGCACATTTGCTTAGATGTATTTTGACAGCCAGAGGAACTGGGATGGAGCAGAAATAACTACAAAAATTTCTAGAGTTTGTAAATATTCTGCTCCCTTCACCACACCGGTGGTGTAGCCACCACCCTCTCCAGATTGCTCCAGGACTCGGAGATGCCATGGTGCAGCCCCGTCCATGCTCTGGGAGCATGGGGTATGCAGCCCAGCCTTTGGCTGTTGCTACCAAGCCCAGAAACAGCCAGATGCTGTTGCCTACTGAGTCCGGCTGTGCTGCACCATGGAGCCAGAAAAGGCAGGACAGTATAGAGGGCTGTGACTCTCATGGCTGGTGCTTGGAGCATAGCCTGTGACCTGAGGAGCCTGTGGGGTAAAAATCTGCCAGCTACCTCTGGCAAGACAGGACTGCTGAGCGCTAAATGTGAAAAACACGGCCTTTGGTGGCGGAAAAACAAAAAAACCAGGATAGCCAAAACAATCTTATACAAAAAAGGATTGTCTGGAGGCATTACCATCCCTGACTTCAAACTCTATTACAGAGCTACAGTATTGAAAACAGCTTGGTATTGGCATAAAAACAGAGAAGTCGACCAATGGAATCGAATAGAAGACCCTGACATTAACCCACAAACCTATGAACACCTCATTTTCGATAAAGGAGCTAAAAGTATACAATGGAAAAAAGAGAGCATCTTCAACAAATTGTGCTGGCAAAACTGGATGTCAATCTGTAGAAGAATGAAAATAGATCCATATCTATCACCATGCACAAAACTCAAGTCCAAATGGATTAAAGACCTCAATATCAGTCCAAACACACTGAACCTGATAGAAGAGAAAGTGGGAAGTACTCTACAGCACATGGGCACAGGAGACCACTTCCTACGTATAACCCCAGCAGCACAGACACTAAGGGCCTCATTGAATAAATGGGACCTCCTGAGGCTGAGAAGCTTCTGTAAAGCAAAGGACACTGTCACTAAGACAAAAAGGCAACCCACTGACTGGGAGAAGATCTCGACCAACCCCGCAACTGACAAAGGTTTAATCTCCAAAATACATAAAGAACTCAAGAAACTAGACCGCAAAAGGCTAATCAACCCAATTATAAAATGGGGCACTGAGCTGAACAGAGAATTCTCAACAGAAGAAGTTCAAATGGCCAAAAGACACTTAAGGTCATGCTCAACTTCCTTAGCGATCAGGGAAATGCAAATCAAGACAACTTTAAGATACCATCTTACACCTGTCAGAATGGCTAAAATAAAAAACACCAATGATAGCCTTTGCTGGAGAGGTTGTGGAGAAAGGGGTACACTCACCCATTGCTGGTGGGAATGCAAACTTGTGCAACCACTCTGGAAAGCAGTGTTTCGGTTTCTCAGGAAATTCGGGATCAACCTACCCCTGGATCCAGCAATACCACTCTTGGGAATATACCCAAGAGAGGCCCTATCATACAACAAAAGTGTATGCTCAACTATGTTCATGGCAGCATTGTTTGTAATAGCCAGAACCTGGAAACAACCTAGATGCCCTTCAATGGAAGAATGGATGAAGAAAGTATGGAATATATACATATTAGAGTATTACTTAGCAGTAAAAAACAAGGACTTCTTGGATTTTGCATACAAATGGATGGAAATAGAAAACACTATCCTGAGTGAGGTAAGCCAGACCCAAAAAGAGGAACATGGGATGTACTCACTCATATTTGGTTTCTAGTCATAAATAAAGGACATTGAGCTTATAATTCATGTTCCTAGAGAAGCTAAATAAGAAGGTGAATCCAAAGACAAACACATAGGCATCCTCATGAATATTAACCTTCATCAGGCGATGAAAGGAGACAGAGACAGAGACCCACATGGGAGCACTGGACAGAAATCTCAAGGTCCAAATCAGGAGCAGAAGGAGACAGAGCACGAGCAAGGAACTCAGGACCACGAGGGGTGCACCCACACACTAAGACAATGGGAATGTTCTATTGGGAACTCACCAAGGCCAGCTGGCCTAGGTCTGAAAAAGCATGGGATAAATCCGGACTAGCTGAACATAGCGGACAATGAGGAATACTGAGAATTCAAGAACAATTGCAGTGGGTTTTTGATCCTACTGCACGTACTGGCTTTGTGGGAGCCTAGGCAGTTTGGATGCTCACCTTACGAGACCTGGATAGAGGTGGGCAGTCCTTGGGCTTCCCACAGGTCAGGGAACCCTGATTGCTCTTCGAGCAGATGAGGGAGGGGGACTTGATCGGGGGAGGGGGAGGGAAATGGGTAGCGGTTGCGGGGACGAGGCAGAAATCCTTAATAAATAAATAAATTTAAAAAATTAAAAAAAAAGAAAGAAAAACACGGCCTGCACCCAGGCATAGCAGGCAATGAGGAAACAGAGCCTCCAGGTTCCAATCCTGGGTGGGACACTGCGAAGCAGCTGTGCCTGGACCTGACTCCAGGTTCAACTGCAAGCCTAGCCAAGATCTTTGGCTCCCAGGCTGACAGCCAGACTGTGAGGAGTAGCCTCAAACAGGCAAATGTCTTTTGAAATACAAAGGCACCTCAAGCCAGGCATCCCTGAAAATCTGTCAGCTAGGGAGACTTGCAGCTTGGATTTTACAGGGGATTTTGAGCCCCTCAGTGAGATTAAAGCAGAGCTTTACATGGAATAAACTGGGGGAGTTAAACTCTCACTGTACATTGGAAAGAACAAGATCCTGTTTTAATATGGAATTAAAGGCATATTTGTGCTTTTATTCACAGGAATAAAATAATGCTTGATAACTACATACAAAATAGAGGAGCGCCAGCCCTGATGACCTCATAGCCACTGATACCGCCCCCCCAAAAAAATAGTAGAAAGACTTGCTACATGGCCTGCATGGACCTGTACCAGGTCTTCCATGTATAAGGCTGTTAGTTTGGTGGTTTTGTGGGATTCCTAATAGTAGTATTAGGTGTGTCTCTGATTCTTTGTCTGCTCTTGGGACTCTTTACCTACTACTGGGTTGACTTGTCAGGCCTGAATATTAGGGCTTCTGCTTTGTCTTATTGTATATTGTTTTGACATATTAGGTTGTTGTCTCCAGGAAGTCTACTCTTTTCTGAAGACAAATGAAAAGGAAGGTGGGTATGGGGGGTGTAGAGGTGGGGAGGAAATGGGAGAAGTGGAGGGAGGGGAAACTGTGGTCAGGGTGCTTTGTGTAACAGAAGAAAAGGGTTTGATAAAAAAATAAAGAACTATATGATTACTAATCCTGCTATCTTGTTGAAAAAAAAGCCCATATTTGCCTTTAACAGGAATACAAATATTATGAAGTTCTATACAAGTAGGAAGTAATTTAAATCTCACGGGAAAATTAAATGCAGTCTCTCTTTAGATGAAAAGTGGGGGGATGTGAAGGAGGGAGGGAGGGAGGGAGGTGTTGATTCCCTTGGGGTGGGCTACTCAGTCTAGGGGTTGTAACCCACCCTGCAATCAGTTATTCCAGGGTCACGGAGAGGCACTACCTGGAAGACATAGGCTAGGAAAGCGGAATGAGGCTAAGCGAGAATTCTTGTCAAAGCCCCTGTTTATTAGAGATGGGGTACAACTTTTATAGGGTAAAGAGTTGGGGGGTGGGCACAGGGGCCTGGGCTCTTGCCACGTGGTTCACGTTGGTCACATGGTCTGAGTTGGTCACGTAGGCAGGAGGTTGTCTTCGGTCAGGTCACTGTAGGCCAAGAAGTCGCGAGTTGACACACCTAGATCCCTAGATAGTTTGGAATGTGGGGTGGGTTCCGCTAACAGATAGCTCTCATTAACAGCCAATTTGGGTGTGGGGTAGGCTCTGTCAATAGAACTATTCCTAACACAATTAAGGATGTGGGGTTCTCTGCAGACTCCCCAGGGTGATGGTTCCTGCAATGATTTTAGGAGGAAATTGGCTCCTGACAGGGAGGGAGGGAAGGAGAGAGCAAGGGAGGAAGGGAAAGTTGTCAGTGGATTTTTTAATGCAATATACTCAATTATTTTGTTTTGTTTTTTGAGACGAGGTTTCTCTGTGTATCCCTGGCTCTCCTGGAACTCTCTCTATAAACCAGAATGGTCTCAAACTCAGAGATCCACCAGTCTCTGCTTCCCAGGTTCTGGGACTAAAGACATGTGTCACCATCACCCAGCAATATGCTCAATTATTAAGATATTATCATTAAAATTTTATATTTTCTACCACATGTTGAATCAATATTTTAATTTTATACATAAATATTAGAGAAATAGTAACAATTTCATTTATGAATTTTCTTCAATTGCCCACCCATTTGGTAAATAGGTTTCAGTTAATTATTAAATCTACATATTTAGCATTTACATTTATCCTAAATTACAATAAAAAGAACAGATATCACAATTTATCATCCAGTGTCCCAAATATCAAATTGTAGAAATCGCAAATTCAAACACTTGTCTGCTTTCTGCTGTGTACTTGAGTAATGAATTCCTTATCCGCTGATACACACCATGAAACTAATGCCCAGATGATCTCTTCAGCATAACCTACACACTCTCTTCATAGAGGTCCTAAATCAGGACCTCCAGTGTTAGCTAGAATATTCTGTACTTTCAAGCAATGTTAAGAAGTCTTCATCACCCAGGTTTCATTGCTATCTACAAGCATTACAAAGAAAAACTCTCTAGAACACGCAGCATTTTCCAGAAACAAGTTCTGACATCATGCCACATTCTTGTCTTCAGAAAAAGGGGGGTGTTTTCAGACTCCAACAAAATCTAATAGCAGCTACTGGGCCCTAGCTGACCATTTGTTTCTAACATTTCTTATGTTGTTCAGACGCAGAACTTTCCTGGACACTGAACAAAGGTTAAATTCTTCACCGAGATTCTATTTGTTTTCCGGTTCTACATACAATGCATGGTTAAGATAGGTGACAGAAATCTGTCTAATTGCTTCCTTTGTTTTACTTTCAGCCAGCAGCCAGAAGTTTTAAGGAGGAAAAAAATATTTGCAACTTTTGACACACTGTGATTTTTATTCACAACCTCTAAGGTTTAACTAGCCATATCATGTTTCCTCATTCTATGATTCTGACAACGATGTGATGAAAACGCAGCTGGGACATCAAGCGGAGGTGACAAATTTACAATTGTGTATCTCATAGAACATGCACAATCATATACTTCACTTAAACAATGGGACATTTCCTTCCCTTGGAATGCTACTCAGAAAACAAAACATGTACTTACATTCTTCAATGATTTGCTAATGTCCTTAAGGTCTACCTGAAGAATATTTCCGATGATCGGGAGAGGAGTGGGGCCAGGAGGAAGCTTTCTTCTCTCAGAGCTCTGCCTCCATAGTGAAAGGAGAAACAGACAGGAGAGAACAAGCCCCAGAAGCACACCTAGAGTCATCGTTGCCTTCTCTGCTTGCTGACATGAGTGTGTGCTTACAACACAAAGCTTATGTAATGAAGCCTGCTATTCCACCCATGAGTCTCTCATACAAAGCAGACCAACCAGGGACAAGACTTAATCTCTCCTCCAAGTGGACCTTGTTCCAACATAGTGATTAAAGAAAATATTGACTCTATTGCTGTCATTTATACCAAAGCAGATAGGATAGATTGTGGTTTAATTGTCATGGGCTGGGTTCCAAGAATTTGGGTGAAAAGCTTTTACTATATGTAGCTGCAATTGGAAAAGAAAAAAATTGAAGCTATTTCATGATAAAAAGTTGAAAAGTAGTGCAAAATTAAGGATTCTCAAGTTAATGAACCCCTGAGAACTTACTATATTTCAGAAATTCAGTATTTTATACAATCTGCAAATAAATAGAAATATTATATTATATGAAACACAGAATCTTTTTCCCCAATACCACAATAAAATAAGTTTCCAAATAATATACTAATGTTACAAAGACACAAACATAAAATAGCAAACATATATTGTGAATGACAGAACACCGTTTTTAATTAAACTAATGTGCATAATTTTTACCATAAATAAATTTTCAGGTGGAAATATAAATGATAACATTTTCTGTTTTAAATGTGGAAAGGAACTGTCAGGAAACCTGTCATTCTAACGCAGTTCTTACCTGCGCAGTGTATTTAAAAGCAGGTCTGATAATCACTACTGTTCACCATTGCTTACAGCTCAGAATAATTCCATCAAACAAAAAATTATCTCACAATAGGAATTACACTATTGTACTTCCTTTGCTCTTGTTGTAAAGTCAGAAGTTTCACACTAAACAGAAGCACCCCATTTGACTTCAAGGATAATACAGTAGGCTTCTCTCTCAAACAAAAAATAAGAATGAATCGTGCTCTCCGTAACGAAGAAAGACTGAATCTCAGAGAACTTGTTGATGACAACTTGGGAAACTGTCAACCTCAAAATGTTACTAAGATATTTTTTTCTGTCACTTTCACCAATAAAATTTTAACAATAAGAAAGCAAATTTGTCAGCAGAACAATTGCGGGCAATAGAAGATGAATGCTGTGCTCCAAACATGCCATGACTCCCTTTGGCTCGTGCCTTTGAACACTTGGAGGCAAAGTTTTAAAAGAATGTGAATTCATTATAAGACAGAATTTTGTCCAAGAAAGAGGGTAATTTCTCCAGAGTACATGTGGGTGATGAGGCTTTACAGCCTGAATTCACCTCTTATTGCTCTCTGCTTCCTCTTCCAACAAGATGTGAAGTGTTAATGTCTCCCAGTTAGACATGCCTGCTGTCAGGAGCCGCCTTTCCCAGAACCTGTCCCTACATGGTTAGCTGTAATACCTCATACTGTGCACCAAAATAAGTTCTTCCACCCTCAAATTGCTTCGTGTCGGACATTTCAACACAGCAACTAGAAAAGTAGCCAAAACAGAAAATTCATAGAGAGAAGCAGGCCGTTCTATAATACATCTAACTATGAAATTCCAGAGCTTTGGAACTGGTCGGATAGAAGATTGCCTGTGAGTTTGGAGACGTGAGCTAGGAAGGGTTAGAGTGCTATCACGGAGCTTAGTGGGCATTCTGATAGGAGTTCGGAGAACTAAAGCAATGAGGGAACGTGGGCCATGGAAGACTATTTCACGAGGTTTCTGACTGGAAATAGTTACTCATTAGGAACTGGACTGACGTGTCGTGGCCCGTGAGGGTCCAACATAAATTTCCTAATTCCTCAAACCGGCTGGAACGGAGTCGCGAGGAAAAGAACTGACACAGCTTGCACTGTCATCATGGAAAATGGCCAGCTCGCCGTTTATTCTCCAAACATTTTATATACCCACACCAAATTGAGCGGGGAGGGGGAAAACCAATTACGCCATCACCTAGGCAACCAGGTGCCTGGGCTCCAGTCACATCCGCACCTAGCAGTCAGGTAGGCCCTGAATTAGCATCTCTATAAGACATCCTTCCAAATTACAAAAGGAAGGAAGCACCAAATATCTGAGCTCTGAAGTCATCAGCTTCAGTCAAACATCTCTTCTCAGGTAATCCACATTTTAACAAAAGAAGCTAGGAGCAGGCATCCTGGCCTTTGTTAAGGGCAGAGACAGCTTGTCTGCAGAGCTACGTGTCAGCTCGGACCGGGCTAATGGCTTTTGTGCCATATCGAAATATGGGCCCACACTGACAGCAACTGATGCTTCACTTGGACAAAGAATCTTGCTGCATTCTCTCCCATTCATGGTAGGTTGTAATTTATTAGAATGCAAATTCATTTTCAAGGATAAAACCTAAACCTAGGATATCACAACAATTTTCATCTCAAAGAACCTTACCTTACAAGCATTTCCCTATGGGTGAACCTCAAGAGAACACAGAGGCCACTGGACATGGGGCCCAAGAGGCCTATAATTTATTTTGATCAGGCAATAGATACTAGTGGCATTGTCTACATGGTACTAGCCTTGTAGGCATCAAAAACAGAGGTCATGGAGTCTTGCCCCCAAAGCTCCAAACAACTTCTAAGACCAAGTAATGTGTGTTGCTATGGAACTCTATACAAGAAATAACTAAGACATCATTACATGAAGCTGAGATAGTGAACCATATGTAGCAAGGAAGACCTCATGTTGCTGGAAATACCAGTACTATGGGACATTTGCAGAAGAAAGCTCTAGATATAGGATGTAACTGAGTCAAGAGAGTGGTCTTTTAAAATATGGAGAACAGACATCAATGGTTGGGGCTCCCTGAAGTATCAGAACCTGATTCCATGATGAGGCCCAGATGCTGGAGATTGGATTGCAGGAGGTTTTTATTCCCTACCGGGTTTCATTCTTGCTTTGTTTGCTCTTTCCTTTCTCTGTAACTATTCCTCCCTTTTGGAGTAGAAATATTTACTCCATCCCATATCAAAGTTATGAAACTGTTTTTTATCTTACAGAGTTTCTTTTAACAGATTGCCTTGATGCTCAGAAGGGATTTCAGACTTTGAACTATTGAACAGTGTACGGACTCTTGAAATCCACCAGAACTGTTTCAATTGCAATGAATGCATTTTGAATTATGAGATGGACAAGGGACAGTCTCATGGTAAGACCACGCTCTTTAGAATTCTGTAGGAAGAATGAAGAGCCTTTCTGAAATAAATAGAGAACTGTGGGCTAATTGGTAGGATTTTGTACCTGCCCCCACTTCCTGTCTGCTCTTTGTTTACTGTTCTACCAAGATATAGGGATCCTCATGCCTTCTCCTCTATGGGGAACACTTTTCTCTCAAACTGTAACTCACAATAAACCCCACCTCCCTTAAATTGCTTCTTGCAGATATTTAGTCACTGACCAAGAAAAGCAGTCAAAACAAAGGGGGAAAAAAGTAATTTACTCATAGGACAAAAGCTTAGAGTTACCACAATATTCACACACAAATGAGAGGAAATATTTAGTGAACATGAGGGCCCAAGCATCTCTCTGATACAAATTCCCACATCACCAATAGAAATTTGGAAGAATTTTGTAAAGATATTATTAGATGTGAGCCACATCAATTAATTCAGTTTTTCTCTAAGATCTCAACTCATAGTTTTTAAAACTTAAAAATTAAATATTGTCGATGCAGATTAAATGTTTCAACAATCATCTCAATGGGAATTCTAAACATTTATAGGAAATTTTCACAGATATAATATTATTTAATATTTTCTCAATTACCTTTACTTAAAATAAAACTATTTCTATTTTAAGGCTTATGAAGAAGACCTCAAAGATTTGGTCTTATGGTAGATGACACAGAGACTTCTCAAGGTAGCTCTGAGTGAGAAATAGTAAAATCTTAGTCTTCCAACCTTCTTTTTTTTTTTTTTCCAACCTTCTTTCTAGCAAGGCACTCACTTTCATGTGACTCAGCAATACTTATTGATTGTGAACAATACTTCTTTATTTTCATCACATTGTCTTTAAATATAAACATTAATTAGATAATGTTTATAGCATATGTTGATAAAAGAGAATGACAATAAATTTTTTATGTGTCTATATTCTGGTGAAAGCTTTATGTACAAAAGAGAAAAGCAAAGATTTGCTGCATAACTCACATAGCAAGGAATTCTACTTTGAATTGTTATTTGAATTTTAACACATATATACAATGAAATACCATCATATTAACTTTCATTCCATATCACCTCTAATCCCATCATATCCTCTTGAAGAAATCCTCCACCCAACTTCAAGGATTTTATTTTTATTTTTTAAATTAGTGCTGCTCATATGTGCATGGTTATGAGGCCTTTCACTCGAAATTGGGTATCTAAACAATGGCTATATTCTCAAAGAGGAGACCTAAGAGAGTCTCAGCCTTGGTCAAAACAGCTTCATTTTGCAGGCAACATCAATCAATCAGTCAGTGAGTGCTTAGCCTTAAATAAGACATCAGTGTCAGCCCTTCCGCAAGGCTGGAGTAGCATCATGGAAGTTTGAATATAAGTTCTAGAGAATGGACAGGAGAGCTGAGGAAAGCTGCCTTCTGGACAGGGTATGGTTAGCACACTCATGAACACACAGCATCTGTGGTCACCAGCATAAGACTTGCAAAATTCCAGCATAGGTGAGGGAAATGATGTCCAGGCCTCACCCTTCACTGAGCTCTTCACTGATATTTTAAAGAATATCAGTATCTTACTCTGAAGCATAGTCTGTAAGGCAGGACCAGGATGTAGATTCTGAGGAAACAGTGGGGGCTGGCACTGGAGTTGATAGAGCCGTTGAAGTAATTGGTAGTCGATTTGAAATCTGTTGGAACAGATTATCGAGACAGAGATAAGATTAAGAAGTTTAGAAAAGAAATTGGTTTTTTCGAGACAGAGATAAGATTAAGAAGTTTAGAAAAGAAATTGTTTTTTTTTTTTTAAGGTACACTTGAAACTTTTAGTTTATAGTCTTGGTAGTCAGAACGAGGAGTCCCAAGACCAAGAAAAGGTTAGGCTTATGATCCTGGTAGTTGGAAAGAGGAATTCCAAAGCTATGGAACTGGGGAGAGATCCCACCTTCAG